ATGTAAATTTGAAATCAGATTCCCACTATATGAAATTTTTTTTTTTTTTTTTTTTGCGGAACCAGGGATTGAACTCAGGCCCTTGCACTTGAAATCTAAATATAATATCAATTTTGGGGAACTTTTGAGGTTTTTTTGATATTCACTTATCTGGAAGATGAATACTGAAATCAGCGAACACATCAATTAGTGATATTGAGATATACTTCCTGATCTACTTCCGTTATACGCAAAAATTACACAAACAGTATATATCCCAATCATCACCTTACATTAGTCTAATATCATGAACTTCAGTACAGAAACACTCCTTACTGCAATATAAAGGTCGCTGTGCAGGGTGAGGCCCATCTTCTATGGTCACAGGACTGTAACCGCGTGACCTCAGCCACTCTCACCATTTATGTGGCCTCCCTTTCCTTCTACCCAAAGGTCACGGGCTGATAAATACTATAACAACGCAAACAAGTAACTCACCTTGACCAGAAGCCAGAGGATTTAAAGGCCTTTTAATTGTCTGTGGCCTAGAAAACAAAATAATTAAAGTGTATAAAACACAAACGTTACCAGTCATGTTATAATTATTTAAATAACATGATATTATCTCCGGAAGTTACTTAATGAGTATATCCAAGCCAAATAGTTTTATTGGGACTATAAAATATTTAATTTTCTCTAATTGTATTAGAAATTATTGGCTATTGTTCTAGGAATAATAGTTCCTGATCTACTTCCGTTATAGCAACCAGGGAATCATTTCCTAACCATGACTTCAAACAAAAGAAGAAAAATCACCAGCCAGGCTCTCCTCCACTAGTTACTAATGCAGTTTTTACTAAAGCTTTTCTGTACATTACTAATAGGTATGTGTGTACACCACGAAGTATGCCATTCCCCAAAAGACAACCGAAAACATAAACACGAGAAAAACACTGCCGATAGATAACTTCATACTTTGGTAATCTCAAATACATCAGTTGGTCCTTTGGCCATCAGGTTTCTTATAATTTGAATAAAGGGTTTCATAATAGGAAAAATCAGCCAGAAGTTTTCTGGACAATTAATATGTTACTAACATGCCTTATTTAAATTTAAAAAAGGGGGGCCCAAAACATAT